GTGCGGCCTCGGGCAGGACTGGGAGCGGAAGGGCAGGCAGGTATGGAAGGGAGGCGGCGCTCACAGCCTCCAGGCCGGCCACCCAGCTGCCCACTGGCCACCATACCCCTCTGCCAGCCAGAGGGGCGCTCAGGTCCCCTCCCTGCAGGGGCTCCGGGCTGGGCCGCCCGGTCAAGCTGCTGCCCTGGCCTCCGGTTCCCCCTGCGCAGGCCGTGTCCACTGTCGGATGCACGGGGCAGGCAGGAGGGGCCACGGGCAGGGGGTGCACCCCAGCTCCTCGCCCCGCTGGGGGACTCACACGCCTGGGGCTGGTAACACCAACTTGGGGGTGTCTGGGGAGGCTCAGTGAGCCCCTGGAAGGGTGTCCAGGGTGCCAGGAGGTCAGGGGGCCCGGGGACGGCAGTGTGGGGTGGTGCCCATGGGTGTGAGGGGCCTTCGGCAGGTGACACTGGCAGAGACATGTGCTGGGCAGAGGGAACAGCATGTGCAAAGGCCGAGAGCCCCAGGCGAGGATCTGCGGGGAGGATGAGGCAGAGGCCAGACGGGTGCCTGGAGCCCGTCCCCTGCCCCCAGAGAGGCTGCCTGGAGGGGTGAGCCGGGCGGCAGCGAGGCTGTCCGAGCACGGGACCCCATTTCATCGGGTGGGACGTGAGGCAGAGTCCGGTGGGCGTGGCGGAGCCCAGGTGCCCCCTGCCAGCACCCCACCCATGCCCAGGAGGGGCCCCTCTCCCGGAGCCCAGTGGAGGGAGCCCCGGCCAGGAGGAGTCTAGATTCTGCCTGACACCCCCCTAGGACCTGCTGGGTGACCCAGAGCCAGCGGGGTCCCTCCTGGGGCCTCGGTAAGGGCCCGGCCGACCTGGTAGAACCACAGGCGATATTCTCAAGCTGCTGCCGTGAAACCAAGAATAACCAGAAAAATAAACAGGCAGATGGTTCCTCTCATATCGGCTATTTTGGCCCTGGAATGTCATCGCGTTGGGGGCGTGGGCACACACGGGGACTGCGTGCCCGAGCATCTCTCTGTCCCAACAAACCTCAGGTCCAGAGATGCCCACCAGCCCGGCCCCACCAGCCCGGCCCCCCCTGCGTGGCCTGGGAGCAGGTGACCTGGCTTCGATCCACCAGTTCTCGCTGTGACCTCGGGCACATCGCCCACCGCTCTGGGCCTCCGCTCCCTCGTCTGTGAGCCCCGGCCGCTGTGTGGACGTGAGGCCGGCACAGCACCTGGCCCGGCAGAGGCTGCGAGCACCCTGGCCGGGGAACAGTGTGCTGCCCCTGGCTGAGGCCCGGCTTCCCCACAGCCCCCCACGTGGCAGGGGGGAGGCACAACAGAGAACACGCAGGGACAGGAGGTGGGCGAGGGCGTGCGAAAGGACACACCCCTACCTGCCAACGAGGGGACGTCAGCAGGGCCCCGGTTCCCCCGTGGGGTCTTGGCCTTGTGATGCTGGGCACAGAGCAGGGGTCCAGTGAGCTGTGAATGGAGACAGCCCCCCATTAGCTGGTGTGGCCATAGGCTGGACAGAGAGGGAGCCCCAGGAGGGCACAGGGTCAGAGGACTCGGGAGATGCTCCCTTCCTCTGTGGGCAGGCCCTGGGCTTGAGCCTTCACCAAGGCTCCGAGACGTCCCGCACGCGCCCCTGGGAGGCCCAGACAGGGCCCGTTCAGGCGGGAGCCCAGAGCCGCCGGCACCGCTGTTGTTACGTGAGCCTGGTGCTCACTCCCTCAGGCTCCTCCGGCCGCTGCCAGATTTCATTCATTGGTTTGCTCGCTTATTCATTCAACAAACACAGTTCCCAGCATCCAGGTGAGCCACTGGGGCTCAGACCTGAACCAAACTCGGTGAATGGCTGGTGGAGGGACACGCCTCCCCCGCTGAATGGGTGCCCTGGCCCAGTCTCCAGGCCACGCCCAGCACTGGGCTGGGCACCTCAGGCACACATGGCCCCCGCCCAGCTGGCCCAGCTTCAGGGTCTGCTCCACCTGGGCCAGGCCCCGGGCACCTGCCAGGAAGGGGAAGGGACAGGGCCATGCCCCCCCGTGGGAAACACTAGTGACCCCATTTCCCAGGTGAGGACCAGGCCTGCGGGGGGTGGGGGACAACGATGGGGACGGCCAGACTCAGCAGAGAGGATGGGGAAGGGATGGTAGGAATGCAGGTCAGAGGTCAGAGCCCAGGCTGAGGCCAGGGTCAGGGCTGAGTGTGACCTGGGTCAGGGCTGAGTGTGACTAGGGTCAGGGCTCAGAGAGTGACCAGGGTCAGGGCTGAGTGTGACCAGGGTCAGGGCTGAGTGAGACCAGGGTCAGGGCTCAGAGTGTGACCAGGGTCAGGGCTCAGAGAGTGACCAGGGTCAGGGCTGAGTGTGACCAGGGTCAGGGCTGAGTGAGACCAGGGTCAGGGCTGAGTGTGACCAGGGTCAGGGCTGAGTGTGACCTGGGTCAGGGCTGAGTGTGACCCGGGTCAGGGCTGGGTGTGACCCGGGTCAGGGCTGAGTGTGACCTGGGTCAGGGCTGAGTGAAACCAGGCTCAGGGCTGGGTGTGACCAGGGTCAGGGCTGAGTGTGACCCGGGTCAGGGCTGAGTGTGACCTGGATCAGGGCTGAGTGTGACCTGGAGAACCCTCGAGCTGAGCCAGGGCCCAGTGTGCTGGGGACGACTGGAGGGACCGGGCACAGGCCTGGGCAGCACCTGACCGCTCCCAGCAGCCGCAGGGGCCGAGGCAGAGGCCCCGCTGGGGGACCTCAGCAGATGCTGACTCTGAGCCCCAGGACGGGCAGCGCCTGCTCCCCAGGCCTCCCTGCCGCCAGCTTGGAGCTGAGCCTCGGCCAGTGAGGGCTCCTCTCCCGGGTGCACCCTGCCGGGCGGGGCAATAGGTGTCCCCCCCTCTCCCCAGCAGGCAGGGCCGAGTTCTCACTCCACAGAGTGGGCGCTGCCAGAGGGAGCCTGGAGCCGGAGCGGGGGCAGCGTCTGGCCCGTTCACAGCGGTCGCCTGGCTCCCTCGGTCACTAGGAGAGGGGTCTTCCCTGCCCCCCCCCCCTGCAGGGGGAGGCCCCTTCGCCCCTGGCTGTCCACGTCCCGCCCCTCCTCCCTGCTTCTCTCCTTTCCCCTGAAAAAGCCAGAAATGCCCTTATTTGGAGGAGCGGCCGCCGTGGGGCAGGGGGCCCATGACCCCTTCCTTTATAAATAAAGGATAAATCCCAGCAAGTTAAACAGCTCGGGTGGGAACGTAAACAGAGGGGCAGCCCCCGCCCCGCGCCCCCCCCCCCTCCCCAGCGTGTCTGGGCCACCGGGCGTTTATGTAACTCACACCCGCTCGGCCCCTCTGCCTGGCCCTGGCGAACCCGTGCCTGTGCCTCCGACACAACCAGGTGCTTGCCCCTCGGGGCTGGGGGCGCAGGGCACCCAGAGGGGACGAACCGTCCCTGCCCCTCGGGAACGGCCCCTACGAGGACCCTCACCCGGGACGTTGCCCTGGCGCCGTTGGAGGCGGAGAGAACAGGTGGGTGGACGGAGGACAGGCCGGGCCTCAGGGCGAGGGGTCAGCGGGCGGGTGAGCATGGGGTGGGCGCCCCCTGTCTCCCTGGCCCCGACCACGTGCCGGGCACTGCTGTGCTGTTACTCCTCCTCCTCCTCCTCCTTCCTCTTCTTCTTCTTTTAATGTATTTTTATTGATCTCAGAGAGGAAGGGAGAGGGAGAGAGAGAAACATCAGTGATGAGAGTGAATCCTTGACCGGCTGCCTCCTGCACACCCCCCACTGGGGATGGAGCCCACAACCGGGGCACGTGCCCCTGACCGGAATTGAACCCAGGACCCTTCAGTCCGAAGGCCGATGCTCTGTCCACTGAGCCACACTGGCCAGAACAGGGCACCAATGTCCTGCCAAAGCGCCACGCGGGCAATGCCAGGGCCGCGGAGGCAGAGACAGGAAGGCAGACAGGCCGGGGTGCTCGGTGAGCAGACCAGCGGGGGCGCCAGCCTCCAGGGCTCAAATGCCGCCGGGGTAACCCCATCTCTCTCCTCCCAGGCCCGGAGCGAGCGCTGGCCGGCCGCCGTCATCATGGCCTCTGAGGCTCCAACGGGGCCCTCGGCCGTGGCGGCCGCCAATGCCACGGCGCCGGCGGCAGCGTGGGCCAACCTGTTCCACGAGTTCGCGGCGCTGGACGAGGACCTGCACCGCGCCTTCCCGGGCCTGTGGCTGGCGCTGCTGGCCGTGCACAGCGTCGTCTCCCTCGCGGGGCTGGCGCTCAACGGGCTGGCGCTGTACGTGTTCTGCTGCCGCACGCGGGCCTCCACGCCCTCCGTCACCTACACCATCAACCTGGTGGTGACCGACCTGCTGGTGGACCTGTCGCTGCCCACGCGCTTCGCCGTCTTCTACGGCACGCGGGGCTGCCTGCGCTGCGCCTTCCCGCACATCTTCGGCTACTTCCTCAACATGCACTGCTCCATCCTCTTCCTCACCTGCATCTGCGTGGACCGCTACCTGGCCATCGTGCAGCCCGAGGGCTCCCGGCGCTGGCGCCAGCCCGCCTGCGCCCGGGCCGTGTGCGCCCTCGTGTGGCTGGCGGCCGGCGCCGTGACGCTGTCGGTGCTGGGCGTGGCGGCCGGCGGGCCCTGCTGCCGGGTCTTCGCGCTGACGGTGCTGGAGTTCCTGCTGCCCCTGCTGGTCATCAGCGTGTTCACCGGCCGCATCCTGTGCGCGCTGTCGCGGCCGGGCCTGCTGCGCCAGGGCCGCCAGCGCCGCGTGCGGGCCATGCAGCTGCTGCTCACGGTGCTCGTTATCTTCCTGGTCTGCTTCACGCCCTTCCACGCGCGCCAGGTGGCCGTGGCGCTGTGGCCCGACCTCCCCCGCCACGCCAGCATCGTGGTCTACCACGTGGCCGTGACGCTCAGCAGCCTCAACAGCTGCATGGACCCCATCGTCTACTGCTTCGTCACCAGCGGCTTCCAGGCCACCGTGCGCGGCCTCTTCCGCCGGCGCGTGGCCGAGGGGGAGCCCGGAGCCGGCGCCCCGGTCGGCGTGCGCAAGAGCTCCCTGGGCTCGGGCCACCGCCGCATCCTCGGCGCCGGCCCTGGTGCCCTGACCCAGGCCCTGGCTAATGGGCCCGAGGCATGATTGGCAGGACCCAGCAAGGAGGCCCAAGGTCAGGACCGGGCAGGGCCGGCCAGGTCAGGACCAGCTCTTCCCGGCGGCGACGTCTGCCCAGGGCCCAGCCCGGGGATCCCAGGGCCACTGCGCGCTGGTTGGCGAGCAGCGTCCACTGGCTCCAGGCTGGCGGGGGCTCTTTCTGCCTCCCTGGAGTGCGGACGTGTCCCCGGACACGGGGCGGCCGGCGCGCCTTCTGCCCGGTGTTCTGTCCCAGAAGGGGGTCTGCAGCAGAAGGGACACGGCTTTTAGAAACTGGGGCTCCAAGGAGAGTGAGCGAGTCACCCTGAAGCCTGGCCCTCGGCTCAGTGGTTAGAGCGTTGGCCATGCACTGAAGGGTCTCGGTTAGACTCCTGGTTCAGGGCACGGACCTGGGCTGCAGCTTCCATCCTGCCTGCCCCCGTCGGGGTGATGCCAGAGACAGGTTGTGTCTCTCTCACATCGATGTTTCTCTCTCCCCCGCCCTCCCTCCTTTCCACTCTTTCAATAGAAAAAAATATATATTCTCTGGTGAGGATTAAAAAATAATAACAGTCAGCCCTCCCCCTCCCCCTTTTCTATCCCTCCCCCTCCCCATCCCCATCCCTCTCCTCCCACTTCCCCTCCCAAATCACTACCCTCCCCCTTTCTGCATCCAACTCCCTGGTAGATCCCCTCCCCACCCCCCTCCCCCCGTCTCCAGCCGTTCCCCATGGAGGACAGGAGGGACACGCACAGCAAAGGAAATGCTGGGTGACACCGACTTACCGAATGTGAGGACACGAGTGTTCTGTCTGAGGAAGCCTACCCAAGGGCTGTGATAGCCAGGGGAGAACACAGATACTGTGTTAGATATAATACTGACCTCACCACTCCGGTC